GGATGCTGGGGAGGGACTCTTCCTTAGGGATTGTAGTGGTAGGAAAACAGGTAATAGCTTTAAACTTAAACGTGGGAAGTTTAGGTTAGATCTAAGGAAGAAGTTCTTCACAGTGAGGGTGGTGAGGCACTGGAACAGGTTGCCCAAGGAAGTTGTGAATGCTCCAACCCTGGTGGTGTTCAAGGCCAGGTTGGACAGAGCCTTGGGTGGCACCGTTGAGTGTTGTGGTGTTGGTGTGGGGTTGGAATTAGATGATCTTAAGGTCCTTTCCAACCCTAACTATTCTGTGATTCTATGATTCTATAAAGTAGCCATGTTTATGCCTGTGCTGTTCAGAACAATTGGGCAGCCTTGAGCGTACCCTACAAGGGAACATGAAGCCTGCACATTACATTCCTATAAAATCAAGTGTTCCAAGTAGTCTGTAGAAATAAAGCTTATAGAATCTTACTTCTTGTCATTAAAGACACTGGATAAGAATGCCACTGACTTAAAAATCACCAAAAAAAAAAAAAAGGCAAGAAAAATATTTGATCTTTAAAATATATACAGATACAATTTTATATAAATATTTGATTACTCTTAACTATATATGAGTGAAAAGAGTTCCTCAGCTTTTAAAAATATACTGTATTTAATAGTTTTCAAATGACAATATTTAGTAAAAATCAATTTTTCCATTATACACTGTCACAGTAGTAAGTTTATAACAAGATTAACTTTCTTCCACAGAACTTGCCTTGGGAAAATATAACTCATCTTTCACTATTGATTCCTTTCATTTTAAGTGAGCTCATCTGAGCTGTCAAATTTGAGTTGAACATTATTTGAGGTACTACTTGACTACACAGCAGATGCACAAAATTAAATACATTATACTTGAGAAAATGGCAATCACAGATAAATTACAGCTCCTATTAAAATTATTAGAAACGCAAACTGAAACTTACAGAAGTTCCTAATAAAAAGGACAAAAAGTATAAATATTGGGTAAATTTTGTTTGCTGAATACAGTTCCCTTTTTCTTCTCCTCCAAAATCTGTTATCTTAAACAAGTTGCTTGGCAAGAAAATGAAAGCATAACAAGCTAGAACATTGATTATAACTTTTAAATTCTTGTGATTAAATTAAACACTAAAATTAACTGGCATACCCAAGTTTAAAAGTAGAGAACATATTTTCTCCTTCCCCAATTGTTTTCATGATTGTTTAATAAAAAACAGACTGGGTTTTGACATTAAGAAATACATAATGTAAGCATCATCATCCAGTACATTGCCACATGGCAAAAAAACCCAGCAGGGTCATACGTTTATGGGTGTACATTGATGCTTGTACAACATACATCTATATCAACATTTTTTTTTTTAAAAACCACCAAACTGTGTTATAACTATGCATTAAAATACAGGTGTAGAGAACCCAAAACTGCAGCTTGCTTATTACCCACAGATACAGGCAAGGTCCCTGTTCAGCATTTCCACTGGATGATTCTCTAAGTCTGATTTAAAATTTTTTGAGTTTAATGATTAGTTTTATATAATTCACTGATGCATCGCTGCAGAATTTTCTGTTGAAAACAACTAAAACATACGATTATAATTACAAATATTTAACCCTATGTAAAGCTTGACAGAGCTCAAAATATCAGGATGTGAAAATGATTACTCCAATGCAAGCTAAAAGAATTTTCCAGTGAAGTTCCTGAGATACAATAGTGCAGTATACATTTACATTGAATTAACTTAGTCTAAACCAACTTGAAAATGCTGAAATATAAAAAATGTTATCAAAATTATTATTAAACACTAAGATCAGTACCACATAAATAAGCCATGGTTGAAAAAGACACTTAAATTACAACCCTTCTTCATGCTCTCAAATGTCTTAATTCCATCTTCATTATAGCACAAGCTAGAAATTGCTGACTCCAATATCTTTTCCACTAGACATTTTATGCCCTTAACTGCAATTAAATAGCAACTTTAACATGTGAAATAAAAATTATTTGAACAAGGGACCCTGTGATGTTATTTATAAACAATTTACAAGAACACCATAATATTTAAAACAGAAAGGCTTTGAGTTCTTAAACAGATTTTGAATAGCAGCAGAAAGCTTACAGAATGGCAAGCATTAGGAGAAAAGGCGGCTCGTATTACTTCTGTCACATCTTGTGAGCACGCTTTCCTTATCTGTTGGTAACTACTTTGTGTTTGTAACGTACGCAAGAACAAACAGGTGTTCTGGATTCTATGTACTCATTTGTTTTTATTCAAAAATAATGTCAGTACTGCAGCATTTTCTTCTTTTGGTGTAATTCTGAAATATGTTTCCCTTGGGAATGGCAGTTCATTTTGCAGTTTAGTTGCATGAGTATATCTAACGCAGTAAGATATCTTTTCATTTTCTAGCTCTATGTAGTGACTTACCATTAGTGTATGTACTGTAATTCACATTGGTTCCATAGCATTTTTCATGAGCATGCTGAGGCAGCCTATTCACATCATCAGAATATAGGGCTTCTGTAGTGTCAGCTTTTTCACCATCTGACATATAACTTAATGGCACACTTCCAGGATGTTCAGCTGGTTTTAAGTTTTTCTTTACTGAAAGATCATTTGCTGAAAAAGACCTTTTCCCACTTTTCTTGGAAGTACTACGAGGCTTACAGAAACTCATATGAAGTGAGTCCATGCTTGCAAAAGAGTCTTTGCAACAAACTTCAGGAGGATTCTGTGACTCCTTTGGTACTTTTGTCTGTACTTCACTTTCATTGAAGTCAAATGATGAAAAGAAGTCTTCATAAGAATCCTCTTCAGAGCCAAAAGACTTGCTACCTGTAGTATCTGCCTGCACGAACTCCTCAGACCCTGATGCACCCAGTTCCAAGGTAGCCAGTTTAAAACTAGGCAGTATTTCTAATTTTTTCCTCTTCTTGTCTTTAAGGATACAACTGTTTCTGTAAACAGGGAAGCTTCTATCCAATGAATACTTATTTAAGTTTCCACTGCTCATAGGTGAATTAGAGAGATTGTCCATCATTGCAGCAACAGTATTTAACTTGACCATTTTTTTAGAAGGAGAAAGATGTCCCAAGCCCTTGATTTGGGGAAGAGAACTTTCATTTGCAATTGAAGTAGTCTTGCTACTTTCATCCTGATTTTTGTTTGGGAACTTTTTTAGATCTTTCTTTTCTAAAGGCAACTCATCATCCAAAGTGTGCTGAAAAAGTTGTTTCTTTCTTAAGCTTCTTCTGCTACATTGTTTTGGTGTTAAGCAAGTCTGCTCATAGCTTTGTGAGGGAGAATTCCCTGATAAACTCATGGCTATGTGAGTATCAGTCGAACTATCACAGGCAGGTTTTACTACCTCTGTTTTTTGTCTCTTTACCTTATCAGTTGCCCAAAGACAATAAAAACTTGAGTTCGAGCAGTCTTCCATTTGTTCTGCAAAATATGTGGCAATACAAATTTATTTAACAAAACAGAAAGTGTACCAATTTCTTAGTAAATTACTGGAAGAAGGAAAACAAGGACTTTGCCACTTCTCTGGATATTATATGGCAAATTATCAAAAACTAAACAGAAAATGGATTAGAACTAAAGTACATTCTATGTTGACAAGAAGCTACAATAGCTTTAGCTATCATTTCTTACATGGTAATAGGTACCCTTAAGCTCTCTTCTGCTGTCTTGAAATAAAGCAGCAGAGGAAGTCTTTCACTCTTGCATTTGTGGAAACCACCCCCCACCCCCCCCCAAGAAAAAAAAAAACCAAAAAAAAACCAAAAAAAAAAAAACCCAAAAAAACCCCAAACAACAACAACAACAAAAAAAAAAAAAAAACAACACCCAAAAAACCCAACACCCCCCCCCAAAAAAAAACCTAGCAAGATTTTAAACAATAAGGTAGCTATAGTAATACTTGAAAGTGAATAATCTTTTTTACTACTAGAGTATTACTTACCACTTTGTAATTTTGGCATTACATTTTGATTTAAAATGAAATCAAATACAACATCATGGTATCATACCATGTACATCAATAAAATGTATTAAGAATAATTACAATGTGGAAAAAATGTATCATTTCTTGTAGCTATTCCTATGAAGATTTTTGGGGGAGGCGATACATAATTATTCATAACTCTTACCAATAAATTCCTCTGAAACAGGCTAGTATCTCCAATTATCTAAAACGCATTTTTAAAAGTCCTGCTGATAATTGCAATAGATGCTTTTGTTTAAATACACATTGAGTGCAATGTTTCAGCAATACTTCTGTAAGTGCTCCTGTAGGTTTTAGGCAAAGTCTTGATGTTATTTGCTTACTAACTACAAATAGTATTTTTAAACATATGGTGTAGCTAGCTAAATTAATAAAAATCAAATATATGGAGATGAAAGAAGTTTCTCACATGAGCAGACTCCCATACTGATAATTGGAAAAGTCTTAGCTTTGATCCTCAAACTGGATTCTTGAATTTTTTAACCATTATTAACCAATATACTCTCAAGTATTTGCAAGCACAAACAAAAGGGCCACTGTCACAGAGTACCAGAGTTTGAAACTACACAGAGTATTGTCATGGGATGTGGAGGTCTATTGTTATGTAAAATTACATTGTGCAGTTGTAATGCTAGAGGGACATATTGAAGGTAAAGCTCTCAAATCATGATGTTCAACCTCATTTTAATTAATGTAGTAAAATAAATTATTAATTAATTTGATTTAGTAACATACAATTAATTTAGTACTTCCAGTATCAAGCTATTACTTCTCCTTAGCATCGCATGAAGACACAACAAGCTGTCTCGGGCTATAAGATAATGCCCCATGTTCTCCTTACTTTTCTACTGAGATCAAACACCAGCATCTGACTTCAGCTTTTTGCTCATGTAACCAACAGAAGATATGAGGTCTGATGTACATATCTGCTGCATAGCAGATTAATGCTGTTAAGATGCCCACTGAAGTAGCTCAACAGCCTTCACAATAATCTTTGCCCTTACATCCTGGTACTATGACAATACACAGGAGCAAATCTCTAACTTCATGAGAACAAGAAACTTTGAAAACAAATTACTTGAATTCACTTGCAACCATAAAACATTTTAAAAGCAGATTTATTTTGCTTTTGTTAACATCTTTAATCCCTGACATACTAAGCTGAAAAATGCGTTAGGTTTTCTCTTAAATTCAAGTTTTTTGATTGAATATTTGGAAGACAAATCAGTTCTTTGAGGTTTCTCCTTCATTCTATTCTCTCCTTTGCTTCCCATTATTACTGTTTAGTGTCCACTCCGTATTCTATATAAGATGACTGTAAGAGCAGAGAAAGCTGACACCACACCAGGTCAAGAAGCCATTAATGGGAAAGGTTGTGAAGAAAGAGGAGGAAGTGAGGCAAGCATCACAGTAGTAGGCACAGCATTTACCCAACGTGACTCCTCATGCTCCATTTTCCTTGAATTCTTACTTCTACACACTTTGCCAGTTAGGAAAAACTAAAATATTCAGCTTTAAATATAAATGATAGAGCAAATATACAGTTCCTGTTCCAGTACACCATACTTTACAAAATAAGCAGACCACGTATTATTTTTAATTTCTGTAGTGTATAAAGTTGTATTAGTTACCTGGTAACAATGAGTCTTCTGATTTAGATAAGACACAAGTAGGTAGCAGACAGTCTCCTGGTGAACTACTTGGAAGTATCTGAGACATTTGTGAAGCTAGGAATTTGTAAATAATAAATGAGTTAGACCTATTTGCAAAGATACAGATTTCCGCACCATCAGTTCATATTTCAAAACAGCTCTACTGTAAGAGAAATCATTGCTTCGCCAACTATAACATAAATATTGCTCAAGGGTATCCCAAATTTACATACTAAGCAAAAAAGCTACTACATTTTCTACAATTTAAAGCAATTCTTTTTTCTAGATAACCCCATTTCTATGAAATTAAAGAATGATGGCAAACCATTTAGAAAATATAAGACTGCTCTAAGCTAATTGAGGCATTTTATTACATAATCTGTCAAATTCTGCAATTAGCAGCAAAGAACTGACATAGCAGAAATGCATTTCAAAATGCTTGAAGGCATTACTTTAAAACTCAAAGAGAAAACAAATAAAAGCCATGCCAAAATAAATGAATTTAATTTTTCATCCATGTATCACTGGTTCTTTACTTTCATCCCACAACTATTTCTGAAATTACAAACTGACAGTCTAGTTGACACAGACTTATTAAAACTTCAAATACTACTGATTCCCACCAGCTCAAAAGATGTTCCACATTTCACTAGTTTTTATAATAACTGGCAAAACCCAATGACTTAGACCCCAATGTTTTCACAGTAATGTAATGGAAGCATTAAAAAATTATTTGAAAACTGTAATCTAGATTTAATTCACCAAGATATGCATTTTGAAATAAACTAGGTTTATTTGATTGGGTGATTAATTTATTTTTTTTAAATCCTGTTCTTCAGTAGCTGGACAGATGTCTCATCAATTTTGAACTCCTTTATGAACTGTTGGCCTGGGACTAGTAACATCACAATCTTTATCAAGTACATTCACATTAAAATTTAACAGGAAATAAGACTCAAGAGTTTCACTGTAAAATTTAATCAAGTTGTGGTAATATCAATTTACATGTATAGAAAGTCTAGCTTAACTTTAGTCCTCTTGAGCAATCTAACCATTAAGAAATTCCTTTTTGCAATCATTGTCTTCCATGATTTCTTGTGCCTTTCAATGGGAAGGAACTAAAAGCTAAAGCATTCACACCTACTTGAAACCTGGAAAAAAGGGAGGACGTTGCAATCAAGATATGAAAGAAATTATGAAGGCCAGAGCAAGACAAGAGCACCAGAAATCAAGCAATAAAGACGGTAGCTATTCCTGCATGGATAAGTAAAATTTAACTTCTTACCAGTAGGAGAAATATTTTCTCTTTTTTCCTTCATCTCCTTTATTCTTCTTTCCATTGCAATGTGTTGATCTTTCACCTTATTAACAGGGCTGTACACAAGCAAACCATTGTCTTCAAACAGCAGAACTGGTACATCAGTTTCTACACAAAGAAATTGCACTTGTGCATTAATACTTACATGCTATAAAAATTTCAGATTTTCTTTTCCAAAAACTTTAAAAAAAATAGGTTCCCTTAACATCACAATAGATGCCTTAATACTGCAAATTGCAAAGAACTCTGTAAAAAATCAACTCTGTAAGTAAAAACATTCTTATAAAAGCACAGAAGTACAACCAACCAAACCCAAACCCAACCAACCAAACCAAAACAACACACACAAGTAAACCTCCAAACAACAAAACAAAACCCAAAACCCATCAAGTGTTTTAAGGAAATAACTGAAGATGTTTGAATCTTGGCCTAAAGTAGTTCTTACCAGCATTAACTGCTATCTTTTGTATGGCTAATTCTTTAGTCATCTGTTCCAGTCTTCTCCGCAGCTTTTTATCATTTTCTGGAGTTTTTTCAACAAAGTCTTTTGGCTGCATACATTTGTGCTACAAGACACACAAAACTATCAATTATATGGTATAAAATTGCCAGAAGTAACAACACTTCTTATTTACTTTCCACTTTGTCACAGTATTTATTGTCAGTGTCTAACTCTATGCTACTTAACACTTCCTTGAGAATCACAGGTAATTGCAGAAGTTAAAGTTCACTTTGGAAAGTGTTAATACAAAAGAAGAAAGAACTTAACAGACTTTTTTTTCTGTTAGATTTTATTAAAAAGCAGACTAAGTAACCATTTTTTCCTTTTTGCTTGCAGCAAAGTTTAGGCTTGAAAGATTATTTCTTTTTTTTTTTTTTAAATACCAGTATTCTAGCTTTTGTTGCAACTCAGTGAAACACAAACCATATGGCAGTCATGTTTTTTTAATTATGTCATTTTAATTTAAACCTTCTTTATTAATCAATATAAAAACTCTACTTTTATTATACTTTTTTCCAGATAAGATATCACATCATCATAGCCATAGCCTACCTTTAAAAATCAACTCAGATGGACAAGTAGAGCTTACAGAATATCCTGATAATAAACAGATCAAATGCCTGAGGTCAGGAAGTCAAATTCAAACTTTAAAGTTTACTACTCTAGGTCTATGAAAAAAACCCAAACTAAAACCACACACTCACCTTTTTGATCAGTTGTGGTAATTCTTCACTAGCAACTACTGCAGGAAATAAGGATTCATCAACATGTACTCTTGTTTCTCGACACCTGTATAATAAATTAGAGCAGTTGTGTTTGTGTTTTTAAGAATGAGAAACTTCACTGCAAAAACAGTCATCTGAGCTCTGTAATACCAAAAGACCAACGCTTCCTCAGTGTGTATCTTTACCATAAATACTTCAATGGCAAAAAAAAAAAAATAAAATCTGTATATTACACAAATATAGGACTTTTTTGTCCTAATGATGCTCTCTAAATTGTTGTTCTGAAACTCAAAGATTCTCACTCATATTTTATTTTCCACACATTCAAAAATCATCGTTATTAAGTCTTTCTGGCCAGATTCTCATGAATATCAAATTTTACCCTGACTTGTGAGGATTGTAGGCTTTCACTGTTCACCACTTCACAAACTTAACATAACATAACTTGCCTTAACTTGGTCACTGTGATGACAGTAAACTCCCAACTACAATCTGCAGAATGTCATGGGGCAGGGGACTCTATTCAGGCAAATGAGGAAGGAGGCTTCATCTCATCCTGACTTTTATATCTTAGCCATATGTTTCAGTTTTCTGCCTTCTCCATGTATATGCAATGCTAAAACCAGCGCCTTATTGAAGGGTGATCTCTATTTATGCAAACTTTTTTAATTACAAAACCAAAAATTCCCGCTGACACCTTACCCCGTGTTTTTCCTGTCTTCATTTCAAAGACTGACTTGAGAACAGCAGGACTAATTTTATCTAATGTGAACACTACGGATGACATTGAGACAAGAATTTGGTTAATACATAAAAGTTCCTTTGATCAAAATAGATCAATACAATTTTATTATCAAACAATAAATAATCAAAGCAATTATGGGAAAGAGCATAGTACCTCAATGGACTGCAGTAGTTTCCCCAGAAATCATTCAAAACTGTGATTCTAGTGACACCTAGTGCTCTAACTGCTATAAAGTTTGCAACTGCAGAATTATAATCCAGTGCTTAGTTACTCAGTTTTGAATAAGAAGCCAAACCACTACATGTGTTTGTGAAACTAACCAAGTTTAGAAATTGGAGCATCAAATAGAGATGATACTTAACATGCTGGGCTTCAGTAGCTGTAACTAAATTCTGGATAATCAAAAGCATAGATGTAGACTACATTAAAATTTACATTCATTCAGAGACTTCATTAATTCAGAGAAGCTAAACATAATAAATTTGACCATTAGATATATTGCAAGCATTTTTTACTTTGCAGACAAATCTGAATGTAAATGATTTATCTATCATATTTGTGACACGAGTTACCGTACTATGAATGCATGGGTAGAATTTCCTGTGTTATGGGTTAGATTAAGTATCCTTAATTTGTACACAGACTATAGTAATTCTATTTTATGTAGGGTTCTTTTTGTTGGGTTGATTTTTTTTAGGTTGCTTATTGAAGTATTTGAATTGAGGCATGAATTTTTTTTCAGTGATTCAAAAGCTGTCACTCATGTTGAGTTAAACTTATGATTTACTTGCATGAATCTTATAGCAAGTCCATGATTTTGTGCACTATCTTTAAAGTCAGACAATCTACCATTCTTAGAAAACACATCGGGGAAACAACCCATTTAAAAAATTAAGAATATATTTACTCAAGTTGTTTTTTGAGGAACTTCCAATTGTCATCTTAGAGAGTCTTCTTCCTAATCAAGTTACTTCTTATTAAACTGTAGAACTGCATTCAGTTTAGATTCAAATATATGCTTATACTGTAATGCAGAAGCTTCCAGGAAGAGTTCAACAAGGCAATGTTCACTAAATACTGTACAAACCATTGCAATGTGTGCTAGCTTTTATGGAGTAAAGAGTACTATAGTATTTTTCAGATCATGAGCATGTTCCTCTGAGAGGCCCAAGCACTGCTCAGGGGAAGATAACGCTAGTGGGCAAGCGTAACAGTTTGGAAGTAGCTGTTAAGTGGGAGTATTTCACACAAAGCAGAAGAATCTGGAAATGCTGGAGTAATTGCTTACGATTTGCTTCCTTGTCTGGTGTTTTCAGAGCTCAAACATGAAAAACTAGCATCCAGATTAAATACCACATACTGTACCATCCTGTTTCCAATATCAAGATTCCCAAAAACATGTAAAAACATGAAAACACAGCCAAACATTCCCAGTTTACTTTGCTATGTTCCACAGGTTTCTGGTTTAGAGATTGTCAGATGCAATATTGTATGGGTTTTGATAAAACTATATGTTTAGTTGCTTCAGCATTTTTTTTTAAACACATATAAATCCTTGCTGAGTATGACTCTGCAACAAGGAGTTCTCCAGCCTGTGTTTTACTAAAAGCCATCATTTACTGTTTTCCATATGGGTATAAGTTTCTCCTGGGGAGATTCCAGTTGGACCCTAGAAGAAAATTTGTCACAACAGCCACTGGAATAATCTTCCCTGGGAAGGGGTGGATTCCCCAGCATTAGACAGTTTTAAGATTCAACCAGATAGGGTGCTGGCCATGTTGCCTAGACTCTGCTTTTGCCCAGACAGGTTGGACCAGATGATTCTTGAGGTCCCTTCTAACCTAGCATTCTATGATTCTCTGAATCTGCCTCCAGAAGTATTCATGTGATGTTTTCCAGTTCTTCTACTGGAAAATATATATTCATTTCCCACTTAGTCTCTTCATATGAACCTTGGTGTTCACAAGAGTCTCTCCCTCTCCCACATCTTTTCCAGGTTGAAGCGTTCTTGTCTTCCATCATGTCTTGTGAAACAACGTTCCAAGTGTAACCATGATAAAAACCATGTAATTCCGCTACATGAGTTTTTATGTTCCATTTGATTTTTGACTACTGCTGAGGTGACAATCATATGAAAACATTTACTGCAAGTCCCAAAATCTTAAGTTTTCCCTTATACAATATGATGATCATCTTTCTGATATGCTTAAGAGGAATTAAGGTTTAAATAGTCTCCTTGACATCAGCAAGAATTTTATTCCCTTCACTGTCTTAGTTTTGCTGTTCCAGTACGAACACTGATTTCATGCTGTGTCTATACTTACAAGAAGGTTCTCTGAAATAATTTGAACAACCATCCACAAGCCAATTAGGATCAAGCATAACTAAAATATTTTGCTTTGCACTTTTTTTTGCTTTGCTTTGCAACAAGAGTCACCTAATCCCCAGCCTACACTAGAAAGTAACTCCTTACTATTACATTGCCTAAAATTAATTTTCACAGCATTTCTGACCATTCTGAGAGTGTTTCACTTGCTACTGAATGGAGCAGCTGGTTAATCAAGCCTTCTTTTTTTAGTAACACTAAAACTTCAACTAATGCGAATTCTGCATTATTTGCTTACACAGTTATCAGGTTCAAACTAAGCTTCCATTCATGCAGAACCACTTTTTACTGGCACATACTATATGCAGTCCTTCCTGTTTACATTGTCCCAGGGTTCAGACTGTCTTCTGCCTGCCAAACCTCTGAGATGATATACTAGGCATATATAATTTCAAGTCACAGGCTCCAGTTCTCTCATCTTATTACAAAAAAAAAAATAAATAAAATTTAGCATGTATGCTAGCAAAGATTCATTTTGATTTTGTCACCTGTACCTCATTTGAATAACTCTACGACTAGTGAGACTATGCATTACTATCTCTTATGCAAGCTTTTACCATTCCTGACCTATACATTGCTCAAGAATATGATACTCGTATGAACTCTGCCAAGAGTATACACCAACCTAAGTTTTATATTCTTGTGTACCTTTTTGCATTAACTTTAAACTAAAAGGCAGAAGAAAAATATTACAGAGAAGTTCAATCAATTCACAGCTTGGATCTTCCTCCATAATAATACACCTCTCTATTTCAGATGATTGCCCCCGTTCCAAACCAACCTTATCTTCTAAGCCATGACCTCACTTTGCACAGAGAACCAACTTCAAAAAAAATCCCAGGAAGATGCTAGTCTTCTCTTTCCTACAAAAGAACTTAAGTCTTTTCCTTTGTCACTGATATACAGCAACAGTTGAAGTTTCTTGAGGCTTTTACACCCCAAAGCTCCATACAGTATCATATATCCAGCTGTCTCTGTCAGCTTCCTACACTGTTCATCCACTCAATATCTGTCAGTATTGCACAGGTGCCTCTTGTGGTGGAACTGCTCTAACAAGAGACAGCATTCCTGTCTGTCACACCCTAGACTCTCACCTGCAAGGTGCTTTCATTCTTCTTCCATTGCAGATGCTACTCACCTGGACTTTTCTGGGATCCTTTTAGCACATCCAAGTCCTCAAATAGTTTATAGTTCTTATGGCTAAGGTTTCAAATTCCATATTTATACATTTAGCCATCTGAACAGCATATTTAATTTTAAAACCAAAGATCCTACTGAAATGACCATCATTCTCCCACACTCAGTGGCACTAGGTTCGAGAAAGACATATTCACATAGACAAAATTTTGCATCACCCTCATATTTGGGAACTTAGGTATTTCTTCCTCAGTGTTAAAAATGGATGCTTCTGCAGAGCTGCATGAATTTCTTTTTTTGGCTAACAGACCTGTATCAGAAATTTTATGGTTGTACTGGCCTACGTTAAGTAGCTACAGAGCTCAGCTTTGCATCCCCCATTTTTTGGTTTTACTTTTGCACTTAGCAGACTTCTATCTCTCCATGCATATTATAATTTGACAGAGCCTCTTTACTTATATTCTAATTTCCATCATCACAGCAATTTACCAGTTGGAGTGTTTAACACATGCATGTCCTTAAACACTGTGGTTTTTTACTTCATCTGAAATCCAAGTTTGGCTTCACAACCACTTTGTAAACTCAGAGAAGTAGCTATGGACTAGCAAATCCTCATGGAGTGGCTGCACAGCTATTTTTTTTTTTTATAAATTTAACTTTTCTGCCATATGGTAGTTAAGAATCTTCAAGCAGTGCTGTTCTGAACTTTCCAAATGTCTTAAAAGCCAGACTACATATGGATCTTTTTATTTCTTGCTAGGAGATACTTTGTCTTCAAAAGTTAAATACAAAAACAGTACAATGTCCCTGATAAACTGTGCTTTTTCATAAGAAAATGAAAGAATTCTATTCAACATAAGTGTCTAGTCTTCACTGCCTGTGCATGTCAGCTGAGAGCAAAGGAGTGGAATGCTGAATGGTTCTACTATGGAACTACCTCAACAGATTCATTTTTTAAGAATAAACATTTTATCTTTTTATACAAGTAATATACTCCATAATAGGAATAATGTCATAGGAAAGTTATTTACTCACAGATTTATCACTATTTCAAGTAGACTAAAAAAACAAGTTCTCTACTTAAGTTTTTAGATAAAACCATACTAGAATCCATGATCACTGGAATAGGTCACATTCAGTATATTCGCAAGTACTCACTTCTCCACCCAGAGCACAGAAACTATTTTCATGCCCATCTTCTGTGCTTTTCTCCATGTAGCCAGATGTCCGTCTTTGAAGACTACATGGGTCACGTGCCTGTTCAAAGTTTTTGAAACCTGCAGAAGTACACAGAGAGCTCATTGTTAAGGCCAATAATCAGGAAATGCTAATGAAATACACCAGCATAGTCCATTTTTAATGGATTAATTTTAATGGATTTTAACCATTAGCATAAAAACTTACTCTAAACATTATGTCAAGGACTCTTTTGATCTTCACTATCTTTGCAAGAAGACACAAGCAATCAAAACTCAACTTCATTAGCCAAGCCAATGCAATCCATGCTAGAGAGCTAGACTAACCTCCTTTTGCTCTCAGACTTCTCTAGGTTACCATTTTCATCTCCCTGCTCTAGCTGTATCACTAATTTTGCAATATTTTTATTTATTCAGCCCAACATCATTTCTTGTGCAACAACCAGTGTAGAAAGTAATGGAAAAACTAATTTAGAATTTTATTTCCTGACACAGTGAGCAAAGTCAGTTCAGTATCGCATGCTCAGCCCAACAAAAGGGAAGTAAGTATCTGGAATAGTAAAGAGGCAGGACTGCCCCTTTTCAGTCATGGGGATCTGCTAAGTAAGCTCATCCGTATCATCTGCCAGCACTTTCCACAATATCTGACTACCTTTTGATTGACTCAAAGAATTTGGAAGCCTCATGCTTTTGTCATATTTTCCGTGAGAAAAATCTAATATCATCAGAAGAGAATTACATAGATCTAATAGCATCACACAAAAGAACAAGAAATATTTCTTGAGTTATTCATTGAGAGTTGTATTTGCTTCTATAATAAAAACAGTTATTCTTCTGTTCAGCTAAATTCATACAGAAAGAGAGGCTTTGGGGAGATCAGCAAAATTTCTCAAATTATAGTAAGATACACCTACACATGCCCACTTGAAAAGCACTGGGAGTTCATGCAAGTATTATTTAGAGCACAGTGTGGGCTGTAAAGATCTCCATTAACTGGTGCTAATGTGCAAGAAGGGAAAATGCCAGTTTGATTTTGTTCTCTAGTTGAAATTCTACAGCTGGTAATTAAACATATTTTGCACCTACAGTTCAACAATACTTGATATGGGAAAACAAAGTCACTAAGACATATACTAAGACTCTTAGATGTATTTTTACTAACACTTTCTGGAGTTGAACCACATACGTGGGAGAGTGAATGAAAGAAGAAAATGTTACGGTACTCAGATTAGAAAACATTTTAGTAACAACAGAACAATTGCCTACAAGTTAAAGAACACAAAGCAACATAAGATACATTCTTGAAAACCACAGGTTTTAAACACTTTGATTTGCCCACAGTATGTGGCAAGCCCAATACTTCACAACAATTGCATGCCATCATATTACTATACAAAGAGGTTTATAGATATAGGGAGTCTTTAAATACATTTCCCATCTGTCACTAGTAAGAATTTTACAGTGCTTTCATTCATTCTCAGGTCTGCGATTATCCTCCTTCCTGCACTTTAAAAATTCATACCACAGAGAAACATACCTAACAAGCAGAACAAGCAAGATAGTTCGGAATTAAGAGGCTTCCTATTCTGTTTATTACAAAATAGTTTCCTTACTTTTGCTCCCATGTCAAGAAGTTGCTGTTCAAAAGTTGCTGAGTAATTTTCTGTTCTGTTAGATGACCAAACTTCTACAAATGCAGAAATACCTGTATCAGAAGAAACAAAACAGCTACTGAAGTATACACTATGGTAAAATCGGTTAAACTGCCTTTCCAACAGCATTTTGGTTTTATACATATTGCATTCAGTAACAAACTGAGTGTCGGACGGTAGCAGCAGAATGTTCTTTTTAGAGAACTTGTCCCTTATAATAATAGTAATAGAATAAACTTAGAAGTTTGACACTAGTTAAACTAGTTAACTTTTCACTTGCTCTATTTAAAATACACTACCAGCTTAAACAAGAAATGCAGTACCTCCACATGACTGCTTACCCTTATTATTTAATCACTGCTAATGTTCAGGTTAATAAAAAAATTTTAAGACAAGACGATGTAACACACATTACAGAATATAATGAAATAAACATAATGGAATGTTATAATGTCCCATAAGCCCCAGAAAACTCTGCAGAAATATTACTTAACAGTTTCAAACTGACTTCAAATTCCACCTTATTTATACTGAATAACCACAAACTACATACATATGACAGGAGCTAATATGATTTCATTGCTGGCTGCATTATACAACTTTAGGTATATCCCATTTAAGCAGCTTCCTTTATCAACCAGATTAATAATCTCATCAAAGAATGAAATCAGCCTTGGTTGAGAAGGCTTTTAAACAAACCAACCCAGAAGTATGGATATGGACGGATAAGCAAATGAAACTTAAAACACTGATTTTACTGAGGATATGCACTAAAGAGACCTACAGCTCCATTGGCCATGACAATTTCCCATTTTGAGTGATGAATCAGTGAAATTCCATAAAACTGGAGGAAGGCTGGTTCACAAAAAGCCCACTTTACATAAACTGCAGGACAGACAACTCTCAGAACTAATGAATAAAACTGGAAGTGTCAATTTAAAAGGGTCATCCTTGGCAAGCATTGCTTAATTATCTTCCTTACTACATATGTCCTAAGTAAGTACTTTTCTTCTGTTTTCTTTCTAAATGAAAATCAGAATAACACTCCACAGAAGAAGCACTTATATAAAGATTAATATATTTTTATGATTTCTAGAAATACTTTTAACACATGAGAAATATAGAACACAAACTACCTCCTTAGCCAAACCACATGGAAAAATCTTATTATGAGTACTGTGACTTCAGATATACATGGGAACTTAACACAAGTTGACTCCCATGTGCTTTTAATTGTTTTCATTCTACTAATGGACCAGGACAGCTTTTGCCAGATTTGCTTTTTGTCTTGATTGCAAAAAATATTGGACTTGCATTCAAAAAACCAATATCTCACTCTTACATCAAATATTTTAGAACTTTCAAATTTATAATTCTTCTAGAAAAACGGGTTACAGCATTTCAGTGAAGGTCAAAACTAGGAACTTATAGAGGAACATTACTTCAAGGCTACATACACCTGCAGTAGAATCAAAGGTGCACTTTACAATAGTTAACCAATTTTAACTAATCAAATATACTCCAACAAAAGACAAAGCACTTGGTAATTTTTGTTCAGTTGATAGAAAGGACAATGAGAAAGGGTTTGGAGCTTTTTTGAACTAGAAGAGCTCCAAGTACAACTTTGTTCTTGTAAAGGCCAACTTATGCAGGAAGATCTCAGAGAAGATGGTGATAGTTGGGGAAAATAGACATCAGAGGGCAACCTAACGAAGCAGAAACTTAAAAGGATGCAACAGAAATTAGAATCTAGCCATGGCTGACCCGGCCAAGAAGAGCCAGGCAGGCACCGATAGTTGGCAGCAGAAGGGGCCGCGACACCGTCCGGGAGCGGTCGGGGAGCCACACCAAGGGGCGGTCACTCCGACGCTGGCTGCCTGCCTGCGGGAGGCTCCCAGCCCTGCCCTCCCCATCGCCTGCACAGCCCAGGCTGGCCTGCGACCGGGCACAACCCACCGCCCTCCGGGGCATGCCGAAGCCCCGCTGCCTGCTTTCAGGCGTGTTCTCGATTAGTCAGCGCAGCCCCGCAGCGAAAC